CAGCTCGTTGCATCAGATGGCTGGAGTATTGGAGCTTCAGCATCAGTCCTTCTGTGAATATTCAGGGTTGATTTCCCCTTGTGCCTTTACGTTTTTACTGCTTGTATCAGTTTCCCGGGGTTGCTGGAGAAAAGACCACGCTCTTGTTGGCTTAAAACAGCAGACTGTTATGGTCTTGAGGCTCTGGTAGCCAGAAGGCTGAAATCAAGGAGGCTCTGGGGCTGTGGGGACAAGCTTCCTGCCTCTTGCAGCTCCTGGAGGCTCCAGGCTGCATCCTTCAGTCCCTGCCATCTCCCTGCATCTCTGTGTCTTCTTTTAAGGCCACCCGCCATCAGACTAGGGGCCCACACTTCTCCAGCATGACCTCATTGCAACTGATTAAATTGGCAAAGGAGGCCACATTCTGGGCTACCTGTTCATGCTGTTCACGGGCTTCATGGAAAGCCGGGCGTGCTGCAGTCCATGACGTCACAAAGAGTCAGACGTGACTTAGCAACTGAAGAACCTGAGGAACAAATCCGAGGCTCCTGGGGGTTAGTACTGCAGCAGACCTTCGCGGGGAAGAGACCCAGTTCAGCTCGCAGCAGAGCTGCAGATGGAAGCGCCCTCCTGCACCCCTTACCTGGTGAGTGTCCCGCGCCCCGTTTAATTACATGCTCCATCTCTCCCTGCAAATGAGGGCCCCAAAAGAACGCCCTCCAAGGCCCCAGATGGAACCGCCCTGGACTGGAGGGAGCTGGGAGATATGAAGCAATCCTGTCACGATGCGGGTCTTCAGGGGCAGCTTCGTCACCCTGTTTGCAATTACTTCCAGGCCCGATCAGGCCCCGACAACCCCCCTGGCCGGGAGTTCACCCGCCGACCCTCTCAAGAGCGTCTGGCCCTCCAGGTGGCCGTTAGTGCACCATCTAGTGGTCCATCCTGGAACTGCGCCTCTTTACTGAGACGTTTGAATTAACGCCCCCGTATCAGTCCTGCCCGGGGGGCCACCTCTCATAATGGAAAAATATAACCCCTGAGCTGACTTTTCAAAGCATCTACCCTGTTCCTTTCAGGCAAGACTACGCAGCTGTTAGTTCATGCAGAGCCAATCACTGTGTCTTAATAACAGACACAGAGAGTCCTGAATCATAAAATGGGTCTGGGGAAGCAAGTCACCAGGCAGAGCCCCAGTTTTCCCCCCAGGACTTTCACCCAGACTCCATCACACCTCTGCGACTGCCCCATATATCTTAATAAATCTCACATTAGAGAGAAAGCTTTGAAACCAAATTGTCCAGTAATGCGCATTTTCCAATCAAAGCACATGGGAGTTTTAAAATATTTACCACCCATAAATAAAATATGTTGCCTGTCTGATGCTTTTTATCACCCCTACACACTGCATATGTATTGACACTGAACATCGATGTTGATGTGTAAATAATAATATGAGGTACAGAAACCTGCGGCTTCCAGCAAGATCTAATCACACCAGCTCGGGTCCCAGGCAAAGACACACCCCTCAGGGCCGTTTTGAAGATGAGATGTTATCACCTCGTCATGGCTCTTGCCCTAGACAGGTGTTACCTGCCTTCCCGCCCATGAGGGACGCCTGGGAACAGGGCTAAGGAGCCATGAGCACCTGGAGGGGCCCACTGCCCCGCGGCCCTGGGACATGGGCAGGCAGAGGCGGGTAGGGGTGGGCAGACGACCACAGGCTGCAAACGTAGCAGCGCTGGGCCGCACCGAGCCTCCTCCCCAAGCCTGTCCTGGACGCTCGAAGCCAGCCTGGGGTCATCGGGGTGAGTGGGGGTGGAGAAGGAAAGCGGGAAGAACTCAGTGCTCTCCTGAGGCCACGGGGGCAGGGAGCTGGCTCCTCCATCCCCGGGCTCTCGCTCCAAGGAGGGGCGCCAGGCTGCCTGTGGCACAGCCGAGCAGGCAGGGCTTTTCAGGAGAAGCGGCGCCCTCAGGGGCCCGGCCTCACCAGCTGGGGTCCGGGGAGCTGCGGGCTTCAGTGAAGGACCCCCGTCATACCTACGGGCTGAACCGCCAAGAAGGGCTCAGGGTAACACAGCCCAGGGGCCGGGGTGTGAATGGGAGTTAACTCTCCACCGCAGTACATCCTGGGGTGGTTTCTCTGCTCTCTTGAAACAGAACAGGGACCCAGCTACAGGAGGGGTGTGGGACACAATAATTTTAGGAAATCGCAAGGTATTGGGTTAGCCAAAAAGTTTGTTCAGTTTTAAGTAAAAAAAAAAAAAAAAGACCTATTTTTCATTTTCACCAAGAACTTCATGTTGTTCAGTCGCTCAGTTGCGTCTGACTCTGCCAGCCCGTGGCCTGCAGCACGCCAGGCTTCCCTGTCCTTCACCATCTCCCGGAGTTTGCTCAAACTCAGGTCCATTGGGTCGGTGATGCCGTCCAACCATCTCATCCTTACTGAAAGACACATTCACTGACTAAAACTTTTTGGCTAACCCGAATAAAACGTCTCTATAAATGTGATAGAGGAGGGCGTGGCAACCCACTCCAGTATTCTTGCCTGGAGAATCCCATGGACAGAGGAGCCTGGGGGCTGCAGTCCGTGGGGTCGCAAAGAGTCAAACACAACTGGCGTGCCTTAGCACGCACGCATACATGTGATACGATCTTACTCCTTTGGTCAAAGCATGGACATCATCTTCTAAAGTGCCCATGGCGGAGCAGCGCAGAGGCCCTCAGTGGGACAGAAGACGCAGCCCACCCCAGGCAGGGAGGCCTCAGAAGGGGAGGCAGTCAGAGGTCCCCCACAGCCACCCCAGGGAGCTCCCAGAACAGCGCGAGGGGAAACGGAAGGCCCCAGGGCAGGAGGAAGCCAGAGAAACACACCCTCTGTCCTCCGACACTCTGCCAACACAGCAGTGGCCCAGTGCGCCCCCCACCAAGGAGAAAAGGGAGGCACAGGAGGTGCCCACCCTCCCCCAGAAGAGAAGAACTGAGGCTCACTCCCGGAGCTCGAGCTGGGGGCCCAGCTTTGCTCCCCAAGGCGCTAAGGTGTCTGGAAAGGACACAGGGACTCTGGCATCTCCGCACCTGCGGGCCAGCGCTGAGCATCCTCACGCTGTGCCCGGGAAAGGGGACGCGTAAAAGGTGATTTTTCTCTAGAAGAGAAAGAACAAAGATTCATGCAGCCCTTGTGGGTCCACACCCAGCGCCCAGCGCCCCATGCTCACAGGCCGCCTGGGCCCCAAGTCCAGCGGAAACCACCTGCCGGTCAGTGCCGCAGCCGGGCTGCAGGGGAGGCTGCGGCGCGCCCTCTGGTGGTCATCCCTGGAGCCACATGCACCGCGTGCCCTGGACCAGACTTCATTCACAGCCATCAGTCAGAAGGAAAAAGGGCAGGAGGAATCGATTTGTAAACACCTCCGTGACTGCTAGAGAAACCGATAAACCCAGAGTACAATCAAGCTTCCTATTGCTGCGCACTAACTCAGGAAGGAAAACAACTTCACTTCCGCCTTTTTTTTTTCCCCCAACAGTCCAGCTTCCTGGTTGCATATATTTTCAGGGATTCAAAAAGCAGTTGATGTTTTCTCCAGCGGAAGTCCCAGGAAGGAGCGCGGAGACCAGACCAGCCAGTTCAGGCAGCTTTGGAGATGATTAAGTGTCTTGAAGAAATGAGCCTGTCTCCTCACCACTCACTCCCCCCAAGTATTTAGGGGACAATTATGTTTGAGGGAAGGTTCTGGAACCTGGCAGCCCCCTGCTTCCATCCTGCTTGCTCATCCTGCTGCCTTGGAGCCTTGGGCAAAACACCTCATTTCTCTCTGAACAACCTTCCATCTGCAGAAGGTGACCCCACAGGAGCAGTGGGAGACAGCAGTGAGAGAATATGTGAAAGGGACTTTTCAAAGCACGTTTAGATGCCTTAGAACTTGAGAACTTATTATTTAGTGTACTTTTAGGTTTTACAGGAAAGTCATACAGATAGAAAAGGATACTCATCACGCAGTTTCCCCCACTGTTGACATATAACACACGTGTAGTACACTGGCCCAGATGATGAGCCTGTACCGATGGTGGTTCAGATGGTAAAGGATCTGCCTGCAGCGTGGGGCACCCAGGTTCAGTCCTTGGGTGGGGAAGATCCCCTGCAGAAGGGAATGGCTACCCACTCCAGTAATCTTGTCTGGAAGATTCCATTGACAGAGGAGCCTGGTGGCCTACAGTCCAGTGGGTCGCAAAGAGCTGGACACGACTGAGCAGCTCAGACTCTCAGTCTCACTTTTCATCGCTACAGTAGCATTAACTGGAATCCGTACCCTCTCTGGGGCTTCCCTGGTGGCTCAGTGGTAAAGAATCCGTCTGCCCATGCAGGGTGTCCCTGGTCCTCCCAGGTTCGATCCCTGGGTCAGGAAGATCCCCTGGAGAAGGAAATGGCAACCCGCTCCGGTATTCTTGTCTGAATAAGCCCATGGACAGAGGAGCCTGAAAGGCTATACAGTCTATGGTGTCGCAAAAAATCAGACATGACTTAGTAACTAAAAAACAACCCCAATACCCTCTTCTGGCTTCCTTGGGTTTCCCTGAAAGTCCTTGTCTGTCCGCGGACCCCATGTTACATTCGGTCATCCTGTCTCCTTGGTGCCCGTAGACCGTGACAGCGTCTCAACAGTCCTTGTTCGGGGGACAGTCTGGAGAAGCACCGGGCGTTTATCTTGTGCTGGGAGGAGCCATTTCCTGGGAGGAGGGACCAAGCAGCAGAGGAATCCTCAAACCAGAAACTCAGCCATCCTGGGGAGGTGGCATGGTCTCCGGGGCCGGCCGAGGCTCTGCACCCTGGAGGTAGGTGCCAGCAGCATTAGGAGGGGTGGCTTTCTTCCTGTCCCTGGGGAGCACGTGATAGAAAACCCGGGGACCCCTCTTTTAGCCAACCCACACCCCTTGGTAGACGATGCAGCTGGAGGAATTCTCATGTGTCAGGTGCAGATCAGGAAATAGGCGACACACTCTACTGGTGACACCGCAGGGAAGCGGCCATGCTGGTACACGGACGGTGCGAAGGCAAATTAGCAAAACCCTGTGGCCGGGCAATGCGGGACCAGCTAAAAGACCGCCATGCGTGTTCACCTTTTGCTTCAGCAATCCAGCTGCCAGAATCCAGCCTCAAGATCCACCTCCAGCAACATGAAATAGACACACACAAGGTTACCGATGGCAGTGCTCCATTGCAAAATACGGGAAACAGCCTAATGACTGCATTCAAGAGGCTGTGTGAACGGCGGCCAGTCCGTTTGGAGGATGTGAAAACAAGAAGGGAGATCCTCATGAACCACTAGCGATGTTCAATACGTGGAAAAGGGAGGTGGAAACAGAAAAGGTGTATATACCATCGCAGGGAAAGGAGGACAATAGAGCATACCTGTGTATCCCTCATTTGTGCAAACAGGAGCACAGGAATGACAAGCTGAAAACCGGCAAGACTGATGCTCAAAAGGAAAAGGCAGAAAAACTGAGGGGGTGGGGACAGGCGGAGAAAGGGGCGGGGGACACCCCTCTGAGGATAATATTTACACAGTTCTGGCTTTTAGAGCCATGCTAATTCACATACTCAAAAAAAATTTTAATTAAATAAAGAGAAAAACCCCCAGATGAAATACAAACAGAAACAGATGAACCGAAATGTATTTTGGATGCCAGCACACTGAAGAAAGACAGAAGAACCAGCTCAAGGGACTTTTGAACTTGTCACTCCGTGTCTACACTTAGCACCGCAGGCTATAGATAAAACAAACAAACAAAAAAAAACTGTTAAAAAAAAAGGATAGCATGCCAATTATCTGATTTGTTCACAGTGGTATGAGATAGCAATTCTAAAATTATGGGGCTTTTTTCCTTTTTTTCTTCGGATGCATCTCATGGCAAGGAGACCTTCCCCAACCAGGGATCGGACCCAAGCCCCCTGCAGTGGAAGCACAGAGTCTTAATTACTGGACCACCAGGAAAGCCCAATTCTAAAATTATTTCATGGATATTATATTGTGTGTAATGAGAACCAGGGTTTTCACTGTTGAAACAGAGAGCTACAAAAGTGCAAGGGAGGAAGATTAGACTGAACCTCATGCTGCTGGATTAGATTTGGAGGTCAGGATGGATGGATGGATGGATCATAGGTAGATGGATGATTAATAGGAATGCACACACATACATATGTTTTCTACCTCTGTCTGCTCATAAGAGGGTTTGAAAGAAAATAGTTGCCATTGGCACCCCCAGAACCCAAATCCTAGTTTCTGAATACCTTTCTCCAATAAAAGGAACCAGAGCCTCTTGGAGAAATGACTGGCTTACAGATGGGTGCAGGGAAAAGACAGGATGAACCTACACTACCGTGTTGTGCCAAAATCAAGGAAGTGGAACATGTCCAGAGGACATAAGAGCCAGCTCCCCACGGCCAGATTTAGAGCAATTTCAGCATCAAAATAGTGATAGTAATGGGTTATTAGCCATAGACCAAAAAAAGAGTCTATGGATCCATCCAGATATAGATGAAATTAAAAATAATAAATAGGAGAAAGGAAAAGTTTTTTCTAATGGTAGAATTCTAGCTAAACATAGAAGGAAGGATGGGCTTTCTAAAAACCACCATTGGGCAACCTGCGTCATCATAATTGTTTTAAGCAAGAAGCGTCAGTGGGTGCTAAACCTAGTGACGATGTCATGATCACGGGATAATCATGGGGCTTCCAAGAACCATTCCCAAGATACCTAATAATTACAAAGGGGAAAGTAGTAACAATACAGGAAAGAAACCCAACCAGGGGAGAGTTCATGTGGCCAGAAATGGGCACAGAGATACTGCTCTTCCTCCTGGTAGGATGATGCCCTGAGGGCTGCCTCACTTTCCGGCTTCTGGTATCTTGTTAAACATGCACAGCCTGGATTTAGTCACAGGAGACATCAGACAAACTCAGAAAGAGGGATAGGCAATAAAGTAGCTGTCCTGCACTCCCCAAAACTGTCAAGGTCATAAAAGACAGAGAAACCCAAGATGACGCTGAAGGTTAGATAGTGTAAGGAGACAGGACAACTCAGCAGTTGGAATGGGGCTCTCAGGGGAATGGGGAGGGAGAATTTGCTAGAAAGGACATTAGCAGGACCACCCATGAGACACGAACAAGGCCTGTGGGTTAGTTAACGCTGCATGGGTGCTGGCTTCCTTTTGTTGATCATTGTTCTATGGTTTCAAAATGAATGTTCTTATTTTATAAAGCACATGCTGATATATTTAGAGATATTTCAGTTCAGTTGCTCAGTCATGTCTGACTCTTTGCGACCTCATGAACTGCATCACGCCAGGCCTCCCTGTCCATCACCAACTCCCAGAGATTACTCAAACTCATGTCCATCGAGTTGATGATACCATCCAACCATTTCATCCTCTGTCGTCCCCTTCTTCTGCCCTCAATCTTTCCCAGCATCAGGTGCTTTTCCAATGAGTCAGTTCTTTGCATCAGGTGGCCAAAGTATTAGAGCTCCAGCTTCAGCATCAGTCCTTCCAATGAATATTCAGGACTGATTACCTTTAGGATGGACTGGCTGGATCTCCTTACAGTCCAAGGGACTCTCAAGAGTCTTCTCCAACACAACAGTTGAACACCAAAGAGTGGAGAGGAGAGTAAGGCAACTGTGATAAATGTTAACATTTGGAGATTCTGGGTAAAGGGGGTCCTTGTGTTCTTCTTGCAACTTTTCTATGAGTGTAAAGTTATTCCCAAAAGAAAACTTTTTCAAATGCAAGTATCGGGCTTCCCGGGTGCTCAGTGGTAAAGAATCCACCTGCCCATCCAGGAGACATAGGTTCAACCCCTGTTCCAGGAAGATTCCCACAGGCCATGTGGCGACTAAGCCTATGCAACACAGCTATTGACCCAGCGCTGGAGCCTGGAGCCTCTGCGCTGAGCCCATGTGCCTGGAGTCTGTGCTCCATAACAAGAGAAGCCGCCACAAGGAGAAGCCGTGCACCCCAGCGAGCAAGCAGCCCCCACGCACCACAGCTAGAGAAAAGCTCAGAGCATCAGAGACTCAGCACAGCCAAAAATAAGTAAACAAATAAAATTATTTTCTTTAAAATAAAACAAATAAAATGCAAGTATCTCTGTAAATGGCAATAACCAGCCCCTGGGAACTCACCTCATGTAGGAGCCAGGCAAACCCCCTGAAAATAAGCTGGTCCTTCTGAGAGATGCTCTCGGGTAGGGGAGTCATAAGAGTCTCAGCTCGCTGGAAAGACTCTTTCCACAATTTCTGGGTAGAATCTTCTAGAACACCCAGAGAAGGCCCGGTATTCCTGCTCCGTAACCTCCCCAGGCCCTGCTCATGATGAAGGTAGTTGAGTTGGACCCTGGTCACACTGCGAGCTTCCTACCTCAGCGTCTAAAGAGGAAGGAAGCCCCGTGCAAGTGGAGCTGCCCACATACTGGAGAGAGGTGATGCCGACCTCAGGTTTCTAGGCAGAACCAGTCCGTGGCTCCCCTCCCCAGGGCAGGGTCTGGTCCTCAGCGCTGTTGACATTAGGCGGGGATGAATGCTTTCGGCGGGGCCATCCTGTGCATTGTAGGGTGTCGACCAGCAGCTCCGCCTCTACCTTCTAGATGCAGGTAACTCGTGACCACCACCCCCATCATGACCACCCAGAATGCCTCCGGATGTGGCCGGCTGATCCCTGAGGGTCAAACTCTGCCCTCGGTGCAAACGACTGTTGTAGAGCTGTCGATTCAGCAGTGTTATATGGAATCCAAGTGCATTTTCCCTTTGAAAGTGTTTCCTGCGTACGCCAAGGCATCCGATGCTCTGGCATCGGTGATTATGGGCCATGCCCACCAGCGTAACTGAACCCTCAGCCCGAATCTAGGAGGTAAATACTGGATAGCAGCTCCGTTCACACAGCGGCTCAGGGAGGTTTCGAGACCACACTGAATGTCTATCAGCATTCTTCCAGCCCCTGAGTATGTGGCCTTGTGCTTGTTCAATAAATAATGGAATCAGCTTATTTCTAGCCAACTCTCACAGGGTACAGTCATTCTGGAATGGCTCAGAATTCCAGTTTACATTCTCTCCAGGTATGTCCCCTAAGATGACCAACTTGTTCCAGTTTGAGCCCTGAAAGTCCTTGGTCCCAGGCAAACCAGGAGGGCTGGTGGTCATCCCACTTAGCTGTAAGGTCAATCACACACACGCCCCCTATCAACACAGCCAGGGTGGGAGCCCGGACAGCTGGAACAGTGAGGGTGATAAGCAGGCATCACTATTTTTGTCACTATTTTTTTTTAAATTCAAACATAGCTGACGTGCCCAGGTGTATCACACAGTGATCCACACTTTTTTTAAGTTATGCTCTACAGTTCTTATAATATACTGGCTGTATTCCCCACGTTATACAATATGTGGGGTGTCCCAGGTGGCACTAGTGGTGAAGAACCCAGCTGCCAACGCAGGAGACACAAGAGATGTAGCTTCAATTCCCCTGGAGGAGGGCATGGCAACCCACTCCAGTATTCTTGCCTGGAGAATCCCGTGGACAGAGGAGACTAAAGTCCATAGACTCACAAAGAGTCAGACACTGCTGAAGTTATTTTACACCTAACAGTTTGTACCTCTTAATCCCCTAACCCTAAATTGCCCATCCTCACTTTCCTCTCCCCACTGGTAACCACACTAATTTGTTCTGTACATCTGTGGGCCTGCTTCTTTTTTACTACATTCACTAGTGTATTGTATTCTTTAGATTCCATATGTAAGTGGTATTATGCAGTATTTATCTTTCTTTACCTGACTTATTTCAAGTACCATAAGGCCCTCCAGGCTCATCTATGTTGCTGCAAATGGCAAAAATTTTACCTTTCTAATGGCTGTGTAGTATTCCATTGTATGTATATACCACATTTTTAAAGGGCAGGGTCATTTAGGACAAAAAGTTAGTCTGACAGAGACAAGCCCAGTCCTATAACCACTGGCCTTCAGGGTAGGGAGGAGGGCCCAGGGGTCGTCTAGGAAGGGGGGCTGCAGGCCTGTCCCCACGCCAGGGCCTCCAGGCAGCAAGAGCAGCGGCGCTCTGGGGGAGGAGGGTGCTTGCCGCCAGGGGTTCAGCAGCGCTTCCTTTCTCCCTGCGATCTCGGGTTTAGCTATCGGCAGCTCCCAGGCTGGC